GATGATCCGATAAAGAATAATAAAAGAGACTCATTATACTATTCTGTCATACTTTTATTTTAGGACTCAAATATACAATACACTGTTTAAAAGAGAACTATTGATTAAATACATAATCAATCAGCCAATGAAATCGCATCTTTCCCAGTAGAGCCAATCAAGTGATTACACATGAGATTTATATTCTAACATTTCTTACACTGTTGTAAAGCTCAAATTGAGGTGTCGTCAGGGAGACATCAGTCAGTTATGTCAAAGGAGAAGATATATATCGTATATCATGTGACAGGTGGACTTTATATCAGGACAACATGATGATAAACTAAGTTCTGCTGAAGATGGTATCATTTGGTACAAACTCCATCAACAGCACTAGTAGTTGAAATGGTGCATTTGTCATATTATCAGAAGAGTTCCTTTATTTGGGACTAGCTCAGGAACAATTATCAATGTCACCTCTGATAATTATGATCACAGGTTCAATGAGAAGTGTGAACACTTAGTGTATAGGGTATGTGACGTGTGAACACTTAGCATACAATGTTATGTGAAGGGTGAACAATAAGGGTTTGTTTCTGATTTAAGTATAAAAATGTATAAAAAATACAATTTTTCTTAGCAAATTTAGTAGAGAGTAAGAAAACGCCCAGAATTTGTTTCTTTAATTAGATTAACTAGCTTCTGAAAGCATATCTTGTAAAGATCGATGGCTCTACGCTTGCTTATTTTACACGTGGTTTTCAGATAATAAGGAATATAGATCAGAAGATAAAAGAGTTGATTACATGTAGTGGAAACATTTTATTTTTACTTGTAATGTACTTTCTGTCCGGGAGAGTGTGAGTTACTTAGAAGTTGATCACAAAATTTAAGGATAGCTTCTTTAAATATCACTAAACACCTTAGTACTTAATATGTAGAGATGAGTCGAGAAAACAATTGGCTGCCACATTAGAATCTATTACTTCATGATGTTTATAAATAATTGCTAAAGTTTAGTTATAGCCTTATTTGAGATCTAATTGCTATTATTGAGTATTTCACAGCTTGTATAACAGTAGTATTATTCTGTTCTTCTACCACACGTATTTTTGTGGGGAAATAATGAAATGGAAAACTACTACTTAGCATTGAGTTCATATATAAAAAGATTCATTTCTTGAATCTAGGTGGCAGCACAAACTGTTCCTATATAACGACGTTTGTGACTTTTCATTCCACAAGCATGACATTTTCCAGAACAATTTCAGTAAAAATAAATAAATAATAATTTCCAAGCTTCTTAACAAACAGGTACCAT